ATACAGAAGAAGAGAACAGAACAACAGTTCCCGCATACTACTACTTACCTCTGCACATTATTCCCTCTTTCTAGAAAGTCTTTTTCTTGACACTTTCAAGTAACTTTGACTTGCTCAAGACTCAGCTTTGACATCACATGTGGCCTTCAACTTCCTCCATCCCCTCCTTGCTTCCATAGCAGTTAACAGACAGCCTTTCATACTATACTAGAGGCCCGGTGCATGAAATTTGTGCACTTGGGGAGGGGGTCCCTCAGCCCGGCCTGTGCCCTCTCGCAGTCCAGGAGCCCTTGGGGAGCAGGCCTAAGCCGTCCATCAGACATCCTTAGTGCTGCCTTGGTGGCAGGAGAAGCTCCCGCCACCGCTGCTGCACTCGCCAGCCATGAGCCCAGCTTCTTGGCTGAGCAGCACTCTCCCTGTGGGAGCGCACTGACCACCAGGGGGCAGCTTCTGTGTTGAGCATCTGCCCCCCTGGTGGTCAGTGCGTGTCACAGTGACTGGTCGCTCCACCGTTCGGTTGATTTGCATATTAGCCTTTTATTATATAGGATTATAACTAGAGGCCCAGTGCACAAAATTCGTGCGCGGGTACAGACCCTAGGCTTGGCCTGCGATCAGGGCCATCTTCCCCGGCTGCCCGCAGCTGGCCCTGCCACCCATCGCCGGTTCCCCATTCACCATCAGGTGATTGGAACCTGACCGCCGGGGGAAGGGACGGAGAGGTCGGTTGTTCCTGCCTGCTCCCGGCCCCGCCCCCGCTGCAGGTTGCTCTCTGTGTGTGTGGGGCGACTGGTGGGGCGGGGGCCTTGCCTGGTGCCACCCGCCCCCGGTTCCCCATTCGACATCAGGCGATCGGAGCCTGCCGGCCGGGGAAAAGAACCAAGAGGTAGTCAGTGTGCCTCATAGTGGTCAAACGGTCGTTCTGGTCATTCCACCGTTAGGGTCAATTTGCATATTACCCTATTATTATATAGAGTTGTAGATTATATGCTACTAAATTTTGGACACCATGAAAATAAAAGTTATTATTCGTTTTTGTGTCCCACATGACTAGCACTTTACCTGGCAATAGTAAGTAACCAATAATGATTTATAGAATGTTTAAGCCTTTTTAGATTTTCCCAGAAACAGAACTTCCACTATAAACATCCCCCAATAGATGAAGAGCAAAGCAGCCATTTAAGAAAAAGCACAGAAACCAGTTAAGAAAGCAATAGACACAAACAAATGGGCCAAAAAGAGAAAATTATACACAAGGAGTCTCTTCAGAGCAGCTCCTGGGAGCTCACTGTTTTCTATTCTGTCTCATCGTATCACAAATATGTTTTACTTGCGACTTAATTTTCAATGCTTATTCTGATTTCCCTGAAAGTAAGTGGTGAGAAGTTCTTCTCTCCACAACTGGATAAGCACCGAGATAAAAAGGGAATGCACTGTCTAAATCAGCTATACTTCAACACTGAGCATAGTTAAACCTTTAAAATGCCATAATAAATAAGACCCCTGAGCTACCCAGCCCCAACTCCGCTTCTAATAGTTGCCTCCTACAAGACATGAGAGTAAGATTACAATAGATATTTTACCAACCAGTTACCAAACGTTCTCCCTAACAGATTCCCAACATCTCATCCTGCATTTACAATCTTTATCTTATGGTAAGGAATTATATAAAATCACTATTTACTCTGTAAATATGCATTTACAGTTTTATCCTAAAGATAAAAAGGAAACAGTTTTCTCCTACCTACCCCAAATGGTTCTTGAACAGAAACTTTCCAGCTGAATTCCCTCTAATATTGGCCACAGTTGTCCGTGATGACAAATGAACGGAATAGAAACTCTCCTCCTAATACTGAGGTCTCTAATATTCCCAATCCTTCCCCTTTCTTTTTTCCAGGGGTACCCAACTTTGCCCGTTAAGTAAAACACATTCAGAATCCATTAAATTCATAAGTAGTTTCAGAAGTGTGTGAGAGAATCCCAGAGACCAACTCCATGTAGCACAGTAAGTGCACAACTGTGCCACTCTCAACTAGCATGACATAAACATAGGCATCAAGCTTGTAATACTCAGATAACGTGTACCAAGTTTGTAATCATCATTAATTATGTCACTCTCATTAGCTTGATATAAGCGTAAGCATCAAGCTTATAGTAATACTCAGATAACATGTACCAAATTTGTAATCATCATTTACCAAAAGCAACAGAAGTCCATTCCATAACTAGTATCATCACCAAGTATAATCATCATCAATTAGATGTTCTGAAGAACACAAGGGGAAAACGACTCAGAAGGCCGAACGAGTAATATCACTCCCCGTACTGCTGCCCTAGCCAGGGTTTTCTCCCCTCCGATTCATTAGAATCTTCTCTAGCCTCATCCTTGGAAGAAAGAAACTGGCTCTCTTGGTAGAATCCACCCTACTTATTATAACACCCAGACTTAGACTGAGGTACCTTGTAACTGATTAGAATTATTATTTTATCCAAATAGATAATTAGGTTTAAACTTACCTTTACCCAATTACCAACTATAGGATCCTAGCCCCATGGAACACACTTTTGTTCATTAAAAAACAAACAAACAAAAACTAAAAATGCTAGATCAATAACAGGGAAGAAGAGACAATGCTTCCCTACAGAAACATTTCCAATTAATAAATTCAGAATAAATGATAGAAACAAAGTCACATTGGAACACAACGGCAAGATCCATCAGTGAATGCTAAAATTAGTTGGCCAACTTTAAGGAGAAGAAACAGGATAGCTGTACAGCCTCAGAGTATCTCCCCCAAGATACATATTAATTTCAAAAAGGAAAATCGTAACTTTATAGTGGAGAAACTTGCATATATCACCTTAACCAAGTGATCACGGTTAACATCACCAGTAATAATAAGTAACTGATACAACGTGCCCTCTGACATGATGTACTGAGAAGGGCAGGTCGCCCTGGTGGAACCCTTCCCAATAATGCATATAACCAATCTAATCAAGAGAACACATCGGACAAACGCAAATTGAAAGACATTCTACAAAATAACTGACCAAACCTTTTCAAAAAAGTTATGAAAGATAAGAAGAGATTGAGGAACTGTCACAGACTAGAAGAAATTAAGGAGACAGGATAACTAAATACAATGTAGGATCCTGGGTTGGATGCTGGAACACATTAAGAACATTAGTGGAAATAACGGGTAAAATGTGAATAAAGGCTGTAGTTAACAGTACGGTAGCAATGTTAATTTCTTAGTTTTGATTATTGGTTGTATACAATGTTAACTCAAGGGGAAGCTGAATGTAAGACATGTGGGAACTCTGCACTGTCTTTATAACTTCTGTAAGTCTAAAATAATTTAAAGAGCGTTGGGGCTGGGGGACACCCAAAAAGCTGAATTCCTGATACCAAGCCACCTAGGTTGAGCAGCACGTTTTACTTACCCAGTTTTTTTAATGCCTCAGTCTCTCCTCCAGCCTGCTACCAATTTATACTGAGTTCCTATTCCTTCCCTAGAGAGCTTCCAAGTCCTTATACTTTAGGACCTCTCCACGTGTCTTTACTTCTTCCCAACAGAGCTAGACTCTCCTCCCGTCCTGCCACAAACTGGCCTGGCTTGAAAGATGTGACTTAAAAAGCTTAATATCTTACATTGCCACTAACAATTTACAAAGTGCTTTTAAAAACACTTACATGCAAACTTTAGAGGTGTATATTGCAACTCCTATTTCACAGATAAGGAAATAAGATAAGAAAAATGAAGTGATCTGACATATTTATTCATAAATGCCAGAACCTGCGTATGAATCCAGTTCTGACTCCAAGACCAAGTTACCATATTAAAAGATGCCAGTCTGCATATAAAAACATTCACCTTCCCTGGCTCCAGGCAGGCTAAGGACATCTAATAACCATGATACTTAGGAAAGATCTACATTTCACCTTTGTCCTAACTGTCCCTCTTGCAAGCCTTGAAGATTCTACAATCACGAATTCAGTGACAAGGTGGTGTGTTCATCCCAGCCTCCATGATTTTTTAAAACAGACTCCAGTCATCTCTTCAGCCATCAACATGTCAGGCTGAAGAATTGCTTACCTCTGTTCTTCTACAAACACTGCTTCTGCTTTCAAACACCTGAGATGTCGCTCTAACCTCCAATTCCATTCATTTCTTGATATTTACAAATCAGAACTAGGGGCAATCCTAGAGGGTCCCGAACCCCACCAAATACTCTGAATACCCTTTTCCCTCACTAAAAATAAAAAAAATAAAAAATTAAAAAAGGTGTGTGTTTGTTGGGGGCGGGGAGGGGGGGAAAGTCAACAGGTTAATCCCTAATGCATGTGTCTGCTTTAAATTTAGTGCAGTGTTGCAGGGCAACGCGACCTGAGACTCAGAAGAAACCAACTTGCACCTGACTTAATTGACCAGCATTTTCCCCCTTCGACGCGTGTAGTCCCCCGGGCTTAACTGACTTCTCTATCAGTCAGCTGAGAGCACTACTGAGGCCACCCAGGTGCACTGAGGTTTAAAACAGTCATGACGGAAACAAGCCTCTAGGTTTGGAAACTCAGAGGTCCCGACCAAACCATTCGTTTATTCACAGGCGCGTGCTCGGTGCGGGGCATGGAGGGGACCTGAGCTCCTCGAGCACCTGACGGTGATTTATTCACTTTTGTGACCTCCCTTCTCACCCCGGCGGCGCCTGCACAGCAAGGGGCTCGCACAGCCGACACGAACCGCAGACGCCGGTGGACCGGCACCCGGTCCCGCGAGGAGCGGTGGGCGAAACGGCCGGGCTGGGGGTGCAACTTTGGGGATAACTTTTGAACAGCTTTGCACTGTTGAACTCAAACGGAACAGGCTGCCGCTGCGTGGGACCCGGGAAAATCGGGTGGGACAGGCGGTCTTTCACGGGAACAAACCGGGACACCTGGGGGGATGGGGGCCGGGGGGGCGCTCAAGGGTGGAGGGCGGAGAAAAGGCGGCAGCACTTGCCTCCCATTCCTGCAAGAACCGCCGGGCCTCGTCAGCACCAACCGCCTTATGTCGCCTAAACTCGTCCTTCACGTACTGGTCGCCCAGGGCTTTGAGGTCGAGGGGCAGCGCGCGGTGCAGCAGCAAGATGCGCCGGTAC